GCCTGACCAAGTTGCGGAAACGAGGTCAGACCACTTCCACACAGCTAAAGGAGACTGCTAGCTAAATAGAGACCACAAATTCTTGGTCTTCATATCTGCATTTAAAGAATAATTGGTTTGTCGAGTATCATCAAGTTAGTAGATTTCAGGATGAAGTCATCAACTCGATCAAATATCCTTCTAGCAATAACTTTAAGCCAACACCATATCAGTAAGATGTATAGCCAACGAACCTCTTAGTAAAATTTAAAAAGTTCAAGCTATTGTACGGATAGCAGCTAAGCCAAAAAAAGTTAAATCGGAATGATAATCAAAAATAAAGTTAACCATTAAAAGCAGAGGGTCGTAGAAAGTGTCACATACTATTCGAGATAGGAAAACGTATGGAAAAAATGTCCCCTGAAATAATGTTGGAATCTTAGCAGAAAAACAGTTGAAAATCGATATGAAGTACCAGAATTGACTAAGAAACAGCATTTTTAAATGAGAATCGTCAATATATAGTTGTTGCTAGTTTGGAAGCTGGTATTAATTCAAGCAAATGTATATCAACTGAGAGCTTACCGTCTTGGCATAACAAGATGCATACGACGCCATAAGAGACAGCAAGCACGTACAAATCGCTTTGTTTGTGAGAGAAGAAGGCGATTATATAATAGTCCAGCCTGCAAAGCAGCATTATTCACATTAGCCACACAAGTATCGTTTGATGTGATCGGCTTGGGATAGCAGGGCGGAGTTCGAGGTCGTAAAAGCTGGGGTCGAAGCAAGACGCTAGAGAAGTGTCTAGTAAGAGTTCGGGCATATGGAAGAAGAAGATCGCTGCCGTTTCGAATGGGAAGTAAGCGAGTTCTTCCTTTGAAGCCCACTTCCTCCACATCAAAATCTACAGTATCTCTAACAGGCCTTGTTTGAATGGAGTCTGTTTTTACCAGAAACACGAGACAAGCATTCGGTGCTTTGTCCGCCATATGCATAGCTTCGCTGAACCGGTAAATGAGCTGTATGAGAATACGACGGTTATAGCGGAGCGTGTAGTGCAGGTTACTCAAATCAAAGTCAGCTGAGGTCGTGAGATTAGCCAAAGTGCCAGGTTGGCCAACAGCATCAACAAATACTGTTTTGTGAGTAAAAATTGATGCGGAAAAGGATTTATACTAAAGAATCCAGCAATCGAGAGCAAGTGGTATAGCAACAAGAGGTTAAAGATATTAGAGATATAAAAAAGTTCAGAAAGTTGTTAGGAAGAATGTGTGCAAAGTATAAAGTATGGTGCACTTGGCTTTTACGTAAGTGAAATGAAAGACAATTTAGAAAATCTATGGCCAGGTGAAGATACAAAGCAATAGCAGATTAGCATTACTTTCAGTTATATAAATATTAATGGGGACATTTTGATTAAATGTTATCTTCACTTGATCGCAGATATCCGGAATATAGCTGATTATATAATCAACTAGCTGTCGTTTAGTAGTTACAGGAGCTGATGA